ACCCTTAAATAAGGTCCTACTTCTCTGTATAGGGATCCTACCTATAGATTTAGGAATCCTTTGAGTACGTACGCAGGAATTAAATGATGTCCAACAATGAAGTGTTTTGGTGTTGGTAACCTGCACTTGCATCAGGGCTAAGGGTGCTAAGATATTTCGTACACTTAAGAGCCTCACTGAGACAACCGTGAAGTCGCTCCAGGTCGCTCCAGGTCGGTGTGACTATAGCGATATACCGTTTTTTGATCTACACTGGAGTCTGCTGGAAAAGCCCACCTGCTTCTCTTCAACGACAGTAATATGGGGAATGTTTGTTTGACCCAACCGAATGTCTGCATGGAGCTTGAAATCCCAGTGTATTTGTATATTGGGGCTTTCGATCACATTGCCTGGCTTAGTCTTGCACTATTAGTCGGTTGGCTTCACTGGAAGCCATATTTTCTGAACAGATTTTAGTGTAGCGTGATAACAACTCTGTCAGTGAGTTTGAAAACGGTCCGTGAAATCTTGCCAAAGTCATTACTGAAGAGCCCAGGCGCTTTCCAACTTAGGAACTCCATCGTTACGACGAGCAATATATCCCTTGGATTTTCGGTGTATTCTGCCAGTGTTTGCTTCTGTGTGTATTTGAATTGTCTTTTCTCGACTTAGGGCCGTTGGAAAGAGTCTGGCAACATCACTACATAGGTGGGGAGCATGTGTTGTCATTACTTTCCTTCTTTGACGATCAAGATTATTTAGCTCTGCTTGCATCCAATTCGAATTTACAACAATGAATCTGATTATTGGTATTTCCAACTTCATACCCTGTAGGAAGACTCTTTCACACGTGAGCAATGTGTCATTCAATCTGATTCTGGGTTGCATTATGTATTAAAACATTTTGAAACTGTAAAGAATCTCTGACATACCAGAACCCCCCCCCCAAGGTATTTCAAAAAGGGAAATAGGCGTCGAACGTATAATTGCTTTAATAATTTAGATAATGTAGAATGGGTCTCTCTCCCTCTCTCTCCCTCTCTCTCCCTCTCTCTCTCCCTCTCTCTCCCTCTCTCCCTCCCTCTCTCCCTCTCTCCCTCTCTCCCTCTCTCCCTCTCTCTCCCTCCCTCTCTCTCTCTCTCCCTCTCTCTCCGTCTCTCTCTGCTGCAACACGTAAAGATAGTCCAAGTCATTAATGAGTTCAAACACAAAAAAGTGTACATATGAAGAATAACTGTTAACTTTTTATTACCAAAATAAAATGTCTGAATAATTGTAATAATCTGAATAATACGTTGCCATCACATTTTTAATAACAGGGTAATACAGCGGGACTATCAGGAATGGCGGCTCTGTCACACGTCTAGAGTCACACGTCCACGTATAATAGTAAAATAAGAAAGTAAAGTATTATATGTCTAACCCAGGTTTGTAAAGTCAATGGAAATATTTTATGAAGTTTTAGCAAAGTTAATCAATATAATAATAAATGTAACATGAAGCGGCCAGCATAATTAATAAAATTACTTGAAAAAGAAATCTTTCAGAAATCATATACTGTAAGGGGTCGTCATAAATTGAAATAACAAATGTAAAAATAATGGCAAAAATATATTTTGCAGTTTGCGTAATTCCGTTTGCGTAAGTTCCGAATAATGAGTGAAAGTTTTTGCCGGTAAAATCCATTTGAAAAATCATGAACACAACAGTATGTGAGTGAATAGATCAACGTGAACGCGTGCATTATTTTCTTATACAATTCTGAATATATTTTTTTATTTCGTTCACCTTGATTTTTAAAATATCGTTATAATTTGTACCTTGTGATTTTAAATTTCATGTTAATCCAAATTTGGAAGAAATGGGGTTGCAGAATCATTTGAGGTATAGGAGATCGACTGATTTTCAAAATTGCAACCGAAAGAGTTGGTTCAGGGCATCAACCGATATTACTGCAATGCCTCTGACCAGGAGATCCCAGGTTCGACTTGCGATGGTGGCAAGATTTTCGACACTAACTAGATAGCTAGATCGAGTTTGGAGTAGCTACTGTCGCTGTCTGGGAAAATTCTAGCGGCCGGCCGCTCTGAATGGTAGTTCTTTGTGGTTTCTCCGATCAATTCTTGACGATTACTGGTGCAGTACCCTAACAAACGCGACACGCACCGCGTACGATCTGTCCTTCCCATTCTTTGTCCAATCCTACCCCTTTCACACACTTGCATGCACTACACTGCCGCACATATCGGGAGACCGGTCGGAAGCTTAGAGCTTGTCCCGGCTAGGGCGGTGCTTTGGTGGCGGGACATTTCTGGTTGGGGAAAACCCCCATAGCCGACATAGCCTAAGCCCCCATAGTCGACGCCGAATCTCTCCATCCAGTGGAGAATGATTACCGCCACCTCCCGCTATAAAACGCACTCTACACTTACGGAACTAATGACCTTAGCTGATGACGCGCCCGAAATCACTAATCAACCAATCAAAAAAATCACAATTGCTTTCTAGTCATTTCTGCGCCAATAGCCGAGAGATTGCTGTCGCAGTGGGCAGGGCCCCGCCTCCTCCGGATTACGAGTCGTCGTGGGGTCGCAGCGCCTACAAGCTGTTCACGTCGGGGCTGTCGTGGCCGGCGGCGCAGAAACGCTGCCAACAGGATGGCGCGCACCTCATCGTCCTCGACTCGCAGCCAGAGGCCCAAGTCGTGAGGGACTTCTTCGCCCGCAATCTCACCCTTCAGAACGCAACCAGCACCGCTTACTACCACGCGGGCGTGTACAAACGTGGCAAAGACTTCATCGACGTTCTCGGTAAGGCGTGACTCTGCACTAGAAAATGCTAGTTTTAGGATTTATTATTTTCATTGTTCTATTTAATCTTTACTTGTGATCGATCTGACTCAACTCAAAACCCTGCGAATTTGAAACGTATACTACTTTCCGTCTGTCCGTCCGTCCGTCCGTCCGTCCGTCTATCCGTCTGCCCGTCTATCCGTCCGTCCTATCCGCCTGTCTGTCTGTCTGTCCGTCCGTCTGTCCTACCGTCTGTCCGTTCGTCTGTTTGTCTGTCCTTCTGTCTGTCTGTCTGTCCGTCCGTGTGTCTGTCTGTGTGTCCGTCCTTCCGTCCGTCTGTCTCTCTGTCCGTTCGTCTGTGTGTCCGTCCGTCTGTCTGTTCGTCTGATGTCTGTGAACACAACTAGCTCTTAAACCATATGTAGGATTTTTCCAAATTGAAGAAACCCCTGTCCATCTGGCTCGAATCGAAACTTTGAGATTTGCAAAAACATTCTTCAAAATTTGGGGGTACTTTACATGAAGCCCTCCGGGGATTTTCAAAATGTTCCCCAAAACTGCTCCAAATTTAATTCCTCTTTAAATTTCTTGTACGAATAGAGTGGCCTATGTGAATTTTCGAAAATTTCAAAAGTATGAATTTTTTGCAGTGTCTTCCTACAACTACCAAACAGAAAATAGCGATTTTTCCTTCAAATAAAATTTGTTCTCCATAGTGAATTCTTTCTTTAAGGCCATGTACAGTTTTTTTGAAAATGTTAGTAGTCTTCGCGCAATATTGCGTGCATATATGCAATTTAAAAAAAAATTACAAACCAAAAATTCTCAAATCGTCTCAAATTTTTTTCTTTAAAATTTTAGAAAGGATAGTGCTAATTGCACTCTTTAATACGACGTAAAGTTCATATCAGGACATTTTTTTCTTCAAAAATCACACAAATGTAATTTTTTTTAAAAAAGGATCTCTCACGCCGTTAATATGCACATTTCCAACAATTTGTAAACACTTATATTTGTGCATTAATATGTTTCAAATTACTTCTAATGAAGTTTTTCGAAAACTCAAAAACTTTCTGTAAAAAATGCTTCAAATTTCGAATTTACTGTAGCGCTTAGCCACCATTTTCTTAAAAACTTTTTTTTGAAAACTTTGAAAAAGTTTTTTTCAAAGAAAATTGCCACTTTGGACGATGTTTTACTGTTCTTTAATATTCTTAAAATAACATTTCCGCTCAACAGTTCGGATGCAGAAAAATAAGAAAATTTCAAGAAGGCAGCAGGAAAGAGTATGTGGCAAGTTCGAATAGCTAGCTAAGACAAAAGGAAATAAAAAACTAGTACGGGAAAGTCTGTGCCTTTCTGTAGCACCACTAGTTTTAAATTATTTGGGGGTACTCTATATAAGCTTCTAGGACATTTTCAACATGTTAAAAAAAATACTCTTTTTTTTTAAATTGTTGGTGCTGTACAATTATGCTGTACAATTATGCTGTACAATTATGCTGTACAATAATGATCAATGGCTCAGGGCAACAACTGATGTCACCGCTCTGTCTCTTACTGGGAGGACCTAGGGTTCGAGTCCCCACGAAATTTATTTTAATATTTAAAATATTAAGTTATAAAGAGTGAAATGCACTTGCGGATCTAGTTACTCTTTTATTATGGTAAGAGATGCACGTTTAAATGGGGCTATCAGCAAAACCGTGCGTCATACACATTATTTAATACACCGCTTTGTGGTTGATTGCAGGTGAACCTGTGCCTGAGTGGGCTAGGAAGACATTAGACGCTAGCAGCACCGAGTACTGTGGACGCGTGGTAGCGAATGGGAACTACGATGAAGGACACTGTGAATTGCCCCGAGCATTCATTTGTGAACATGAGTGATATTTTCTTCATATATATTTTGACCAATAAATATGACTGTCTTTAGGTAGTCAATTACTTATTAGTAGAATCGGAATTCTGTTACGAAATGAAAATATAAAATTTGGTATGAGTTGTTTAAAGTCGTAGAAAAGAACAATTGACGGTTGTGGTGTCCGTTAGTATGTTGGCGAGTGTTGTTGGGGAAGGCAGAATAGAGTTCGCTAGACAGTGGACACCTGAATGTAGACCAAAAATGTTAACATAGATTCTGTTTTTAAGGAGACGATCACTTCTTTATCATCGTGATTGCATTTGACCATCCGGTATGATGACTACGAATTTGTTTTACTCGCGACTGCCTCTTCAAAGTGCTATTGTGGACTTCCTATTGAATCTTGCAATAGCACCAGTGCAAACGGAATTATAGTCTTCTTTCTGCAAAATTGCGCTATCTCCAGCATCGAGAAGGGTACATCATATACTTAAAGATCTGTCTTCAAAAGGAATCGGAGGCTCAATAGTAAGAAGGGATTCCTCTTTCCTGACCAGAGCCAGACGGCATCAATATAAAAAAATCGAGAATCTTGATTGGTATCATCTTCCTTTCTCATTTTGATTTTTAACAGTACCTGACCCTGGAACCTCCGCTTCAACAGAAAGACAAAACACGGCCGTGCCTTCGGGATGTTATGAATTGCAAGTATGTTTCCAGCTGGATCGAGATCAGTGCCAGGAGAAAACAAGGAATATAATGAGAAAAAAGTCAAAAATAAGGCCAAATACGGCAAAAAATCGACATCTTATGCTAAAATAAATTAAAATGGGCAAAAAAGGCAAAATAAAAATCTATTCAGTGCATTCAGTTGTTAAAAGTCATAAAATCGTAAAAAAAGATAACAAAAATATTTTGCTAAACTTCCTGGCACTACGTTTTAGTAATTTCTTGTACAAGACGATAAAGATTTACGATATCTACGAGCGGATGCTATTACCCCACGAACACACCAGTGCTGTGCAACTTCAAAAGCACCAGCCACAATTAATGAATCAGTCTCCTCAGCAGCTTCCTTCACATTGAAAAGCTCGGCTTCGTCTCTGAATAAATAGAGAAAGTAACTGCTTGACCATTTCCAATAAACAATTATTTTGTGTTGGCTACATTCATCTATGACATTTGATATGGTGTTTTTTAGTGGATAACCTGGCCTCCCAATTGATTTAGTGGTTCACTTGTTCACTTTTCACTTGACCCAACAAGGGTACCTATCAAAGACGATTGTAACCATTTGGACACACCAGTTTCTTGATATGGATAGTTTCTTGAATATGAAACAAATTGAGGATGATGGAGGGGCTGAATGGGGTTGAGGGCGGGATGAGTTGGGCCGTGGGAGGTAGGGAGGGGCAGGGGCGTGGGCGGGGGCGGGGCGCAACCGCAGCGCTTCTTGAGCTTCGAGGCAGTGACTCAGTCGCCGCGGGGTCTCGCCGCATCCGGGATCACCTGCGCTGGGGGCCCTTCCGCCTCCGCCTCCCGCGGACGGGGCTTTTCTCAAGGCGCCGCGCGCCGCCCGTCGCCGCATCGCCTGGCGGGTGACGCAGCCCTTGCGCCAGGCGCCGCGAAGCGTGAATGAGTCCAGATGCGTGAATGATCCCGGCGGTGCAGCGCCCCCTGATGAAGCTGTTGCTGTCGGTCGGCGCTTCGCAACCAGCCATCGGAGCCGCTTGTCTGCAGCGCGGAGGCGGAAGCTGTGTAGTGATTTTTATGGGTGTTCAAGGAACGAATCTGTTTATAAAGATCTCAACATGCTTCGTATGGATTTATGCGGCCTGAAACGAGTGTAACTCATTTATGTTGCTAGTCAATTTATCCTCTCCCCGTACCAATGTAACGACGATAACGTGGCTTCTGGACTCACAAACGTAGTACTGTGTACGATCGGACGTTATTGAATAAGAGAACAATTCCGCGGTCGGAGTCATTTGGTACTTGGCCGCCCGGTACGAGCGGCGACTCAGTCGGTCGAGCTGACGTTGTGGCCTTCTTCTAAGCTATGCTGTGTATGTGTAGTTTAGAAGAAGGATACAATATGATAGCCAAAACGGCAGCTCGGCGAAGTCTGAAGCGGCTCGCCAAGTACGGACAGCCAAGTACCGAATTAGAGGGCAATTTACAATATGAAATACTACAAAATGTACAATAAGAGTTTGTAAAATCGCTGAATTCCTTTCACAGTGTACAGAAATTATCGCATTTCCTTTTTCCTCCTAGTCCATAAAGCAATTGTAATTTACTTTGTATAAGGGGGATAAAAAATCCACTGTTGCAAGTAAAACAATTTGAAAGCAACACATCAAGAACGTAATTTATTTTTCTTGAATAAATATTAGTGTCATCAAGTCTTCCATTGAACTCTCTACAACATCATTGACCATCTGGTCTTTTGGCCATCTTTCTCTTCACAGAAACTCACAGCAAGCCATTCTGGCATGCCTCCCCCCCCCCACACACACATGGCCTATAATGATGTAGAGTAGAGAGTGACATTGAAGCCCCGATGAAGGCTAAATAAAGGGCCAAAACGTCGTCATCTAATTAAAAAGAATGAAGAATTATTTCTTCTACAACTGGCCTACTCTCAGAAAAATTAATATTCATCCTTCCGAATACTGCTAAATGAAATACTATTTCAAATACTAATAATGTTGTCTACATGCACTTGATGTTACTGAAAAAAAGGGCAAAGTGCATTTTTATGGTATTTTTAATAAATTTATCATTCGCTCGGTGATACAGCAATACGCAAACTATTAAGCAAACAAACATAAGACAATCTGTTAAATGAGAAGGGGAAAAAATCAATCGCCGATTTTAAGTAATAAGCAAACCCAAAAGGGCATATTGCTTATTTAATAATAAATGAATGGTTTTGAATTTCCAAATGGGAGAGTGATTCAAACCGACAATGGTGTTAGGGGTACTGTTACATTGAATAAATGTTTAGATAATAGCAACACTTAGATGTGCTGATGGAATTTGAAACACTACAAAATTTATTCACGAAGTTTCGGGCCTCTAATAAAATATATTGTAACTAGTGACCTGCAACATCAAAAATGCTTCTAAACAAAAACACTCAAAATGATTTTCCAAGAAGTAGCACTCATACGATCAAGAACAACAAATAATATACTTTCAAATAATACTTCAATAAACTAAATGTATTTCAACAAAGAGTCTTTGTTAATGCTGCATGTGCATTACGTCCAAGTTACATCTGCTTTTTTATTGGTTTTCGGGACCTTTGACTTACAATGATTCTCGGAGTCGCAAAAACTCAATGAGTTCTTCGCTGTAAATGAAAACGTATACACTGGTTACTTCCGGAAGTAAAATGAAAATCACGAGCAACAAATCCAAAGATTCAATATGCGATATCTGCACCTACAAGCCCCACATTCATGAAGATGAACAAAAATGAATGAGAACACTCATGTCAAAAGAAAATACATTCCCGAAATACAACTCTGTAATATCAAAACCGCCCATCTTTAGTGTAAATAAGTTAATAATTAATGCAAACAACTATTATTTGGCAAGACTTTAGTTCTTCCTTAGTTACAATATGTCCAATAAGGAAAAGTATTTTCTCAATGCGGTATCAAAGCCATTTCTTCCATACTGTAGCCCGTATCAATTGGCTCTACCGGAAACTTTATATCGCCGTCACATTTTATTGTCTTGATTAAAATATGTTTATTTCATTTTAATTTTGTTCTCTAGCGCTGTTATGTATTTCACATTAATATATAAGAGACACTAGTAGTATAGTACCAGTAGAGTCCGTGAAAACATTCCATGCCTTATAATTCTTGTGTTAAAAGTGAAAATAGCTTAATCCTGATCGATTGCTAAGGCCTGAGTGGAGCGTTAACGTCAAATAGGCATTTGAAATATTGATGCTAATGTGTTGGTATTAGTTGCGATTTGTTTATGTAGTTTTAAAGACTCAATATTTCATCATCATCATCATCATCATCATCATCAT